AAAAGGTTATAATTATAATATAATTGTATTCATAAGTGTTATGAATATTTTAATCAATGGTTAATCTCATGAAAATTGAAAACCAATTCAATTATTGGTTCCACAAAAACGCTATGTATTGTTTTCATGTAATTATGCTTAAAATACCTTAACCCGTAATATTATTATCATCACAACCGATTATTTTAAAGTTATTGTAATTTTATTTTTCTGTTAATAYTTTGCTAATAAATTATAATTCATAGAGATATTGTTATATCCCGTTTTAATGAACATTATTCAAATACCTACCCTGACGCGTGTGATTTTTATCGTAAAAACCAACAGTCTCGCGAGTTATAAAAATATTATGACAAACATATTTCAAAATGTAATATTTTATAGCGGATACAAACTTAATACACTACTCGATATTATGCAGGTAGATAAGTATGTAAGCGCAAATAGAGTGAAGGGTGTTTTAGAGTCTCAAGACTTCAGAAAAAAAATTTTAAATCTTCCTTAGAAATATTTCAGAAAATATGAGAATATTTATTATTTTCATTTTACCCTACTTAATACAATTTTTATGAAACTGCTGTGCGTWGATAAAAAAAAACAATTAAATACAATTCTATATTAATTAATGTGTATAATATATTTGGAGAATATTGTCTACCAATATTATAGATTGTGTTCAACAATGCACTATAAGACATTAAACTAATACCAGTCTCGGTTATTCGTTACATATACGTTAAAAATAATTAATTGTGACTATAATACATTTGTATGCTAAACAACCCAATGAAGCGCTTTTGGTTTTATTATCGTATTATTTTAACGAATAATATTTCAATACTGTATAAAACAGAATAATATTATCTACCTACTCAGAAAGTACGAGTATAATATACAATGACCGAAGCGAGATGTTTTTTAGGTCCTTTTTACTTATGGTAATTTAATATTATGGTATAGAGGATTTAACTGAAACCCACCAATCGTCAAATTTGAAACGTTGCTCGGGACCACCACGAATTTAGCACATATCTACCTACATATTATTATTATATAATATAGTAAAATTGTGTATATAAATAAGCTAGTTCCGAGATGGAAAGCTGTAATCTTCATTATGTTTATAACTATGAACATATAACTATACATAGGGAATATATTACTCGCGACGAATTTACTTCAAACGCTTTAATGACAATATTATAATACAAGGAGCGAACACTTTTGGGGTGCGCATGTATACAACGCCYGAGTAAGGTTTCATCCAAGAACCGAAACGTTACTGAATTTTGATGTAATAAATTGCGCATAAAACTTGAATAATATCATATAATATTGTGTGTATATATTCAACTTTCTACGAATTTACAATGGGACTTCGTGAGTATACCGCAGTGTTAATTTATGATTGCACACGGTGTACCACAGGCGCTGGGACAAAGTTTTCACACCATTCAGCGTCGTGGTGAGCACATATTTTCATAAAYACAGTAATTTCGAAACTAAACAAAACAAAACAAAAAAAAAATCCAAAATCTTCATATACACAGTGGTATTATTATTATAATAGTACTATGCTGAGTATAAAACATAGTATAATAGTATACTGTGTGTTCCTACTATGTCATATAAGTGTGATAAATGTCTCCTCATCCTTCAATATCGATTCTCTCGAACACAATACAGCACCTATTATGTGATTTCAATAGGACTCGAACTTAAGGACCCTAAAAAATATGTATTACATATATCATGTTAATAAATTATTATTCTCTACTTTTCTCAACAACAATATACCTATTTATAATTTATTATCAGATCATATTTGTACTTTAAAACGGATTTGATGAAATTTGAAGTATGAATTCTTTACATAACTTTATATTTAACTTCATCAGATTTTGATTTACATATTATAATTAAAACCCGTATTAAAATGGATTACGAATTAAAAAAATCATAAGATCAGGGAATCACTGAATAGTGAATATTCACGAAAAACATTTGATATTTTAATATTTCATCCCTTTAAATCATGAAATTAATTTATGAATTTCATCTAGCAATATATATATTAATTAATAATCCAAAGTCATTCAAATGAAACAAAGTTTTAGTCCTGAATAGTCCTGATATTATCAACAATATAAGAACGTGCAGCTATAATAATAGACCTCACGATAAATATAACTCTATTTTGTAGATTATGCACAATGTTTGAATGTGGATATTAAATAATAATATTACTACCGATATTGCATGTGTAAGCACTAAGCAACAATAAATTGTTTTTATGATCACGCCATATCTCTGGTCTGTAGTGTATACAATATGGTGGACCAGACGAACAATATTTTACATAATATTTTATTAATTTATATGTAACATGTAACAGTTGGGTATCCACAACTTTTTTGTAGTTGTCATCACAATCTCACCAGAGTTGAATCTTATAATAACTTTTATGATTTACAAAGCCCAAGACACATTTCCATGACGGATGAAGGGAGGGAGAATAATAAAGTATGTATATTAGATTGATGATGTAGCTTTAACAAATATKCCATAGGATTTATTATTGTTGCTCATAATTTTGTGCCACATGATGGTCAGCTAAGTCCTAGTAAATATGTTGTGTGTGTGTGTGTACATCACAAATAATAATGATAATATACGTCAGGGACATGGTATATATCTGTGTCTCTGTGCCTGTGAGTGTGTGTGTGTGTGTGTGTGTGTGCGTGCGTGCGTGTGTCTCTCTCTCTGTGTTTCTGTATGTGTGTATGTGTGTGTACATTACAAATAATAATGATGATATACGTCAGAGACATGGTATGTGTCTATCGTCGGGAAAGTGAAGGGGCGGCGGGTGTGAATGCATAATGCAATAGGAGTGAAGCATGTATACACACAATATAATGTAACCGGCGTGAGGCGGAAAGTATGAGAATAAATTATCGTCTGGCGAACAAGAAGTTTTCATATTTCTTCGGGTTACGTTGACACGTACACACACACACACACATAATAACAACAGCAACAACACTAGTAGGTAGGTATRTACGAAAAAATATATAAATGAAAAAACGAAAAACCGAGCAGGTAAGCACCACCGCACATCACAACAAAGCCACGACGCGTTATTATATAGGTATTCGTTGTGGAAAATTCGGTTTTCGGCTCAAAAGACACGCATTATTCCGAGATTTGTAGGTACACCTACCTCTTTATAAAGACACTCCAACCTATCCAAACGGCCTTTTTTGCGCAAACACCGTAAGTCCGAGAAAAAATAATAAGTAACCAAAGCAAACGGCGAGTAAACAACGTAGTTTTTTTTTTACTTATACGCGGATACCTGTATAAGTACACCACAGTATGCCAACAAAAAGAATCCATTTAAGAGGCATATACCAGGCGTGCGTTCAAAATTCGCCGTCAAGTACTAACATACTAAAATATTATTATGTTATATTTTTTCTTTTCTTTCATTCGATTTGCCGATTCCGTATGAAATTCCGTCAATAATTCGTAAGGAAAATAATACGATGAYAGTTTGAAATTCAAATTGTATAAAAGTTTATCRAATCMCAAAATTCCAGACAAGTTACCTACGTTAAAAATAATATTAAAAATTTAACATTCACCTGATATATMAATTTCTGAAATATCTTCGGGTTTAAGGTTTAGGCTCATCATTATAAATATTTGATGGTTAAAATTGTTCTAACAATATATAAGTTCTGTTTTATTATTTAAATAGTACGACCGACCCGCAACTGAAGAAAAGTACAATAAGCAATAAGCATCCGATTGCAATCTTGCTACTAAACTACTAAACGAAACGCAATTTATACAAACATCATTATATTTGTAAACTAAATTAACCTAACTGAATACTAATATCATATATAGTTTTAGTAATGATCGAATATCTTTATTTACCAAGTATATTTATCACACAAATAGAGAAATTTAAACAAAACAATATTATGATATTATATTCATATTTTTGTCAGTAATGATCAATTAATACCAATATTAGGTAAGTTTTTGCTGAGTGATGGTGTAGCTAATAATTACTGAAACATAAATAAAATTATATAAAATAACAATTWTTTGGCTTGAATATCTATAKTAGTATCTAAATATATTGTTCAAAAGCAAATGTATACAATTTTGAATTTTCAATCAGTAATATTATTGACCTACATCGGCTATACCACTATAATAAGCACTGTAGTTGGTATTCATTACTCAATATCATAAATAATGAGATCTTTGGAATCATGTTTGTAAAACCATTTAATTTCAAATTCTCTACTTCCTGTATTGTAACCAAATAATATGATAATTTTTTTTAAATTTAAATTCTAAACAAAAATACGCTTTTATTAGTAGTTAATAATGTTTACCATAAAAAAACACCATGTTYATAATAATAAGATAGAATATTTTAACTACATTATTTACCCAACTACAATATTTTAACCCGAAGTAACAAATTTTAGTTGTTGTTAAATCTGTTATRTTATATGCTTGAATATAAAATGTATTAGTTTGATTTTTTTCAAACATGTCGATTAACGTCGATTAGTTATTTAACAATAATCATTTATTATGTAAGTAGATACTTACATTAATGCAAGTACCTATACTAAATGTTTGTTAACAACGGTTTAAATTAACTGATGTGGCTTATAAATTATAATTAGAAGAATCCGATATTAAATTKTTAAAATTTATACGGAATGAATAAAAATAATTACAACGATGAAAGTTATTACGATGTTGCAGATAATAATGTCGACCAGTTGAATGAAAAATGATTCTTTTTAAATTAATAAATATTCTTTTTAATTTTATTTCGTACTTATTAGCTTTGACCACCCTAATATTAAAGATTTTAATATGTGACATTAATTTAATATCATCGCGATACATGAACGCAAAACAAACAATGTACACAATAACCTAAATAATATATAGATACCTTAATGATGGCCGATGGTAAAATCCAATATCAAGCAAAACTAACCCTTTTGTTACACCAAAACTGTGACACGGTCAGTATCCACAAGATACCTAATATGTATTACATTTTATTAAGCATATTTTGTGCTTTATTGTATATAATATACGTACCTACAATTTATTTTAAAGCTGTTAGAAAAATTATATAAGAAAGTTKATCTGTTTAACCTATTTAAAATATAAATTAAACATAATAAATTCAGGATATAAATCAAAATAAATAATTAGTTTGATATAAAACAAAAAAACAATAGTTTCGTAGAAAATTCATTTTAGGTAAAATCATACTTTGATATTGTCCATTAGGAATTAAACTTTATCTAAATACCTATAATAAAACAATATTATAACATTTAAAATAGGAAGAAAATTATTCCYCAATTGTATACTACAGAACTACTATAAATATTAAATAGTGAATTTATAGTGTTACTAGAATGTTACAATCGCTAAWATTAATTGACCACAATATGCTGCACCCCTCACTACTAAATATCAATTTAATAGTTTTCTTTAATCTCCACAAAGTTACCTAAAATAGGGCAGTGCATTATTGATAATATTACAATGGTAGATATTTTCGACCGCTAGGGGTTATCAAAATCCGTATAGTGAAACTTTACCTGTACTTTGGCAGAAAACGGAAACAATAATTTATCTTGTTTGCATTAAGTAACTGTTCTAGCTCATTCGCTCACAAAAGGACTATATTATTATTCGGGATTATGGAAGTGGATTTATTATCATTATTGTCATTGTTATATAAAATGTATTGTTTATATGTAAAAATGGTAATTAGTTCAGTTATTTTTTTGAATCACATTAAACTACTATTTTTTTTAACTGAATAATAAACTGCATAATTGATTTTATTTAATTGAAGCATATATTTGAAAAATAATGGTCAATTTAAATAAACAAAAATCAAAAAAAAAAAAAAAAGTATAAAGCTAATATTGAAAAATCTTAAAAAGTATACTGTAAGAGTGTAAGACATTATCTGCTCTGTATACATTTTAAAAACGTCATAAAATGGTATAATGATTA